AGTTGAGGTACATTGGTTGCAACGCTGACAGTTGTACTGTACCTCCGGTCGCGTAATTGTGACCCCCGTGGATATCGTGCCTTGCGAGATTGGGCGTTGAATTGGGGGCTCGTATCATAAATTATTATCTATCATACAATGCATGATACAATACCATAACATCATCTCTAAAACTGTATTATTTATTTATGGGTTATATATTTATACAATTTTTCTTGTATGCTACGGTAAATTGCGGTTGCGAATACCGTATAATACCAGTTACCCATGACACAGGTACAGTAACTGTTCGGTACAATACATGGAGAGCGAGTGTATGGACTGATATAATTCCGAGAGTATGACATGATCTGGGCCGCGGCGATCAGAGCTCTGACTGGGGTTCCTCCTTCCCGAAAGGTTACGGTACGGTACCAATCCTGCACCATGCCTTGCGGGTTACGGGGAAGGAGAAAGAAGAAGCAGAAGAAACCCGTAGTCTACCCAAATCATTACGGTACCGCTATTCGTACTCTTGGCAAAATTTCAAACCGGACCGCACGCACCAAGGGGACTCAGCAGTCACGCCTATTTCTTCCACTACCCCCCCGCCAAACCATTTGCGCTGTAAACATTCGGTCGGGGTGGAAGAAGGGGTGAAAATTTAATAAAAACAAAACAAAACAGAGCAGGGCAAAACAAGAGTGAGCAATTGAGCTCTATTGAAAAGATAAGAAAAGCAAAATTCAAAAAAAATAAAGTAAATAATCTTGAGACACCCAAAACAGAGGTACGTTATTTCCATTTCTGGATATTTTTTTTTCTTTATGGTCAGGGTTTACGCCATGGAATTTCTCTACACGCCTGCCCCTCCATCCCCCGCTATTTCCCACATCCCCCACCGCTGCGGCACCACAACCAAAACACCAAAACTAACTGAGCAGAGGGAAGACCGCAAAAATGTCCAATCCCAGGATCGAAGACGTAACGGAGGAAGAGATCAGACAAGCCGGAGTCGAAGACGTCGACTCTAGTGATGACTCCGAAGCCGGGGACCTCATCGGGGGTGGGGGAGGAGAGGCGGGTGATGCTAGCGGTATCCCAGCTGGAAGCAGCGTCGCGGTGCACAGCAGGAACGAGAAGAAGGCCCGCAAGCAGATTGCAAAATTGGGCTTGAAGCACGTCCCGGGTATTACTAGGGTTACCTTAAGGCGTCCAAAGAATGTATGCACAGTATTTGGGACCCGTGCTGGGGGGGGGGGGGGCTGCCGGAGCGGATGACTAGGCGGGTAGTGCTAACATTTTCATGGACAGATTCTGTTTGTAATCAATCAGCCGGACGTGTACAAGTCCCCCTCCAGCAACACTTGGATGTAGGTCTCTCTCCTCTTTGGCTCGGTCGGAGGTGCTGATGCTCAGTAGCATCTTCGGCGAGGCAAAAATTGAAGACTTGAATTCCCAAGCCCAGGCCAACGCTGCGCAGCAACTCCAGAAGCATGAGAGTGCTGCTAACATCGAGGCGGACTTTGCAGCCGCTGCGGCAGGTGGCCCCGGCGCACGGGATAAAGGTAAGGATGCCCAGGCTCTCAAGAAGAAGGAGGAGGAAGAGGAAGAGGACGGTGAGGAGGTCGATGAGGAAGGGCTGGAGAATAAGGACATTGAACTTGTTATGGCGCAGGTAAGCTTCCTCCCTATCGCAGTTGCACGTGCCTGCCACGGGAGCTTCAGCGCTGACAAAATATTCAGGCTACCGTTTCCAGGAAGAGAGCTGTCAAAGCGCTCAAGGAGAACGACAACGATATCGTCAATTCCATCATGGCTCTCAGCGTTTAGTTCAGTTAGTTTGGGGAAAAAACGGGGGGTATTCTTGTTTTTCAAGGTTTTTTTGTTTCCAATAAAATAGGGGTCAGATGAATATTGGTTGTTCATTTATTTCCACGTTCGTCATGCGAATTTGAATGTGAATCCATTCGGAAGGGTTAGATTAGGATATGGTAAGTGTGATGGATAAAGGAGGCTTCCCGTCACTTTACTTGTTTGCTATGGACACGAGTACTCGTACAATGTGATCTCGGAGGGAATTGTGATTGCATGCAATTGAGACAACGGCAATTGCAAAGGTAAGTATGGTGAGTATATATATATGCAGGGCTGCTAGTAGTCGTGTGTTCAACCACCTGCCAAATAGGACATATGTATCTAACTATGAAATATCAGGGCCGCCACCCCCACCCGACCGAGAGAAGTGCCCAAACCACCACACGTCCCTTCCGTCACCCTCCCCCCAAGAATACAGTACAAGTAGAAGAAAGTGGAAAAAAGTAAGCAAAAAAAACAAAACAAAAAAAACAATCATGCCTCACCAACCTTAAAGCAACGCTCCATCCCCTCGTCCTTCCTCCCTCTCCCCACACTTACCACCACCGCCTCCTGCAGCCCATCAACATTAATGCGCCCCTGTACAACCCGCATAACAAGCATAAACCCTCCGCCACTACCTCCCCCTAAGCGTGCCCTGCTGAGACTTGATAGGTCATAGGTAAATGCCTGTACCCCATTTTCCCTTTACACTCCTCCTCCATCCTCATCCTTGCCATTATCCCCACACACTCCCAGAACCCCCAACAGCAGCGATGCATTCCAAAATACATTTGTGACAAATCCCGACGTAACATCCATCAGCAGGAGAAATTCCTACTCGGAGGTTGTGGATAGGGGACCGGAGAATGCTTGTACTAGCTTATTTAGGTTAGGGAAGGTATGGGGAGGGCATTCTTATGACACCGTTGAAAGGGGTGGTGGTGGTGGTACTGGTGCATATGCTACCCTACGTAAGAAAGTTGTAGGTAGCGCAGAGGATGCCGAGCACTGTTACGCCCTGCGGGGTAGAGAAGGTGGGGTATGGGGGAGTGTGCCCGAAAGTCAATTGCGGAGATAGCTGGGAGGTATAAGAGATTGTCTCACACTTGTGGAAAGTAGGATGGTGGTGGATGTGGTGGATGTAGGATGCGGTTGGGAGAATGAGAGTAGATCTGTGAGAGTTTTGACTCGGGATGCCGCGGGAGCAGTGAGGCAATTAATTCTGGTGAAAGAGTACACTTCAAGTGCACCCTATCATCACCGATGAAGCGTATCAAATTCATGGAGAAGGCACCAAACGTGCGCTCGCGCTGGCGGACCCCCCTCCGGGAACTAACTTTGCTTAGGAATGCCCCTCATAACCCATTGTGGTTCGTAGAGGCACGGATAGCCGCTTGGAATACGTGTCTATTATAGATTCAGCAGGTCCTCCGGCGCCTTTCCGTCGATATTTACACAGCAGGGGGCGTAGATTAGATTAGACGAGCCGTTATTGTCCTTTCACCGTTATTCCCCCCCAATGGTCTGGTCGAGGGAGTAGGTGGAATTGGCAGGCCAGCTACCGGGATCATGCCCGCTTGGGCTCAGTGACGGCCAGTGCCCCGCTAGGTCGTCGGGAGGAATCCGATGCACTCCACCACTACGCGGATCTCCATAATGTCATGGCCGCTCCGGCTGCTATGATGGAACCGTGCAGGATGAAATGGTACGGATCCAACCTCATCTAATATACCGGATCAACAGGTGGGGCGGCAATCCCTCATACTCATTACCAAGCCCCAACATCTCCGGCAGTAACTCCTCCGGAAACAAGAAAAAGCAGCTGTGATATAGTGGTTTTCCAGCCCGTCGGTCGGTATTCAGATTTCGTGACTGTTCCACGAACCACTTTTCACCCTGACACAGGCGTCGGTGTTGAATCCCGTAGTGGTGTACAGTACACTGGTATACCCACACGTGGTTCTTCTTGACTTCCCCACTGTCCAGCTCCCCATTGAGAATCCGGAGGCGATACTGTACGTGTGGAGACTGAGTCCTCTATGATAAGCGGATCGCCAAGCGGTGGTGCAAAGCCGGTAATTTCTGTATTCGAGGCTCGCGAGGGCCTCGCAGGGACCCCGGACCACCGGTAGAGAGGTGGGCTTTGAGGACCTTCGCCGCGCTCGCGTACGGGCTTCTAGGGAGCCCTTTATGATGCTGGAGTGGGGTTTCGTCGGAAGAACGCTTTCCGGAGTTGGGTTTTTGACGAGTGTAGGAGCGGTTTTGCTAGGGTGCGCAGGCGGGCGCTTTTTCTAGATATGATGTCTTTCCAGATTTCGGGTTAGTGGTAGAGAAGCTCACCCGCACCCACCGGTGTCTGCAAATCCACTGGGGGTTTTCGGGGTCTGTTGGTGCCGCTCCTGTTGGCACTGCCGACCATCAGAATAATGGGCAGTCGACTCTAGGTCCCTCTTCATTTATGTATGTCTCACGTCAATGCCCTTCTGACCCTCCCGAGCCTTGCAGAGTCTTAAGTACAGTGCTCGAGTGGATGAGAAAGTAGCAAAGCTCAAAGAGCGGGGGCACGACTATCGATCCGATCCAGCTTGACTTGATTCAAGGACTCGAGTATTTATTTGTAAACGTTCAGCCCTTCCAATACCGTAATTATAGTCTAACGACTTGAAATCGGCGACCAATTCCTCATTTGTGTTTATGATAGGGGATACCAGCACCCCGCCGGTTCGGCTTAATGGTGGCTAGACAATCAATACTCGAGTAGGTCGTGGGAGGAGGGGGCTTCTTACTGTTAAGGGACTTTGTGTCATAGATTTAACCTACTCACACCCGAGTACCGGTAGCACAATTCAATCTACGGCAGACTAAACTTAATGCGTACCGAGATCGTCAGAGCTTAGCATTGTCTTCCACCTCGTGCACCGCAGATGCCAAGGCAGGGACAGGTCGATGCCGGATCCAATGTGGGCTTCATCGATCGACAGCAAGTTGGGATACGGTACCGTACTCGTACCGTAACACCTAGCCTATCACAAACTCATGATAGTATCATAGGAGGGAGGGAGAGAGTGCCCTCATACATCCGTACCCCCAACACACACCGTGTCGCCGCCAGTCCTGTGAGACATAAAAATAGACTAGCATAACACTCTAGGCTACTGTGCTGGATTGTAGGTGAGTTGTTCGCACAGGATCCGCGTATAACAGCTGTGATAGGGCATAATATTATACCGGTATCTACCGCCCTTCGAATATCGGCAAGCAGCATAAAGAACGTACGGTAGTGCCCTGAGGTCGATCACAGAAGAAAAAGAAAGGGGGAGAACCAAAAAAGGGGGGTCACCAGCAGCCGGAACTTGCGTACCGGCCGACTCAGACGCGCAAAATGTTCACGACTTCTGTCACTCATTCCCGGGCAACATTGCTGATCGTGTTTTGGGTGTTGTGCTCAAATGTTGTGCTCTACCGGTAGAGGCCCGGCTTGCTCCCTGGCTGGTTGGCACTTCGCTTACCTTGTTTTGCACCCGTTGGCGGGTACGGTAGGGAGAGGCATTACGGTAGCCAGCCTCCAGCCACCCGGACACCCCTCGAGCGGACAGCTAAACCCAAATGAGAAGCTTTCCGGTGGTTTTGCTTGGATGAGCTGTGGCAACAGTGCGATCACCACTCGTTTTCTCGTACAACCCACCAATCAGCATCTGTCCTGGTCCGGGTGGCTCTGGGCGCTGTCTATCGCTAAACAATCCGGCTTGGGGGGTGGGGGGGTTTCCGACTCCTGTTGGTTGTCCTCTCCCTCCCTCCTCCTGCATTGGTGCTCCACAAATAGTACTCGTACTTGAATACTTTATCATACCCCCCGGACCCTCCCCCAAGGAGGCCGAGCCCAGTCAGAATTTGACATCTTTCAATTTGGGAAAGCCCGGCGATTGGGGGTGCCGGGGAACTCTGGGAGGATGGCGGGAGCAATATACTCGGGTAGTACCGCACTGTAAGAGTGTGATGAACAGACCCGAATGACCTCGTTTAACCATAATCTGTGCATTGCGAGACGCGGGGTAAATCAAGCCTTATGTGTGATATTCGCGATCCTGCTGCTGAAATCACGACAGCATGTCAGCCCAGTACGGTACTCGAGTAGGTCTCCACACACATTCCCTCGGATTCTCGTACCGTACTCACTCGTCCATTGTCGGCTCTTGTGCGGTACCGGTGTACTCGAGTAGTAGAAGTAGAACACTCGTAGTGAGACCCATACCAAATTTCGGAAAGCGATAAATGAAAGGCTCAAGCCATGCGGAGCCTCGGAGGGGGGGGGGGGGGCGATTAATATTAGCATCACACAAGGTCCCTCCCGTACGGTATAAACAATTTTTGGCAGCCAACTGAATGTCAAAGCTCAGACACACGGCAAGACTTCTCCCCCCTACGGTATGGTACAGCACTCGTAGCTGGTTAATAATTGTTATTTTCCCCTCCCCTTGCCTTCAATACCGGTACCGTACAAGTAGTTAACCCCTACAGTTTAGGGGGATGGCCTGATGTGCCTTTCCCACACGTTTTTTTTTTTTTTTTTTTGAATTTTGCAGTCTCTCCCCAGTCCCTGCATGCGTCCAATTGCCCTTCCTCACGTCTCACTTCTCGGGGACAATCACTCGCCTGCCTTGTCTTACTGCCCTTTCACAACCTACGATACACACCCAATGGCCGAATCCGGCCTCCCATTTTGAAAGGACGATGGCGCGAATTGTTGCTTAATCTTGCATCGCATTGCATCGCATCTGAGATCAAAGAACTCTTTTTCCCCACTATTTGCCCTTTGATTCTGCCTTTCGCTTCTGCATCCGCGCCTCTGCGGTCCCCCTACCTTTCCGCTTATCAGCCGGCCCTCCTTTTTGATCTGTGCCCTTATAATAACCCTTTTCCCCCATTTTCTGCTCTCTCTAGCACTTTCTGCCCGATCACGCACTCTCCCTCACCCATATTGAAGCTATGAAGATATCCGTATCCAAAAACCTCCCGAACCGCCTCCCGAGACCCGCCAGCGGCGTTTACATCCCATTATCACCAAGAGACTCTTCAGCGCGCTCTTCAGTCCATTATACGAATGAACTATTAGAAGATGTGATGGAAGTCGAAGAACAAAACAATGGTGCAGGAGCGCGAACAAGTGGAAAAAAAATACTTCCCAGACCCGGACCACCACCAAAGAGAGACCTACCTCCACCACCTCTATCACCGCTGTCTCCCCATGGTCCACTGCATGAGTGCTCCCCGAAGAGCGCTGAGGAAACCCCCGGCCATCGTCATTCACTGGGATGCCTTGTGGGTGCCCTGGGTCCTAAACCGGGGCTGGAACTATCCCGTTCGGCAAGTGAACGGGAGGACATCCGGAGGAAGCGCAGGTCACGCGAGGAATGGGTTAGGGCTCGTAAGGAAAGGGATATGCAACAGATACGTATGATCATGAGAGAGAAGAGGCTTGACGGGAAGCTGTGCGATAGCGGCAAGAGGAACTCCGGGAGCTGGCGGGAAACCATCACTCCCCCAAGTACACCACCTTTGCCACAGAACCCTGGACCAACCGCCCCGACTCCTGCCCCGACTCCTGCCCCGACTCCTGCCCCGACTCCCGCCCCAACTCCATCCCCCACCTCCGCTACCGCCCCCATTTCAATCCCACCTAGCAGCTCATTCACAGAGCGTGCTTGCTCGACAATATCAGCACTATCGGCATCAACAAAGGAGATGGAACTAGAAGAGCGTGTGCTGGCATTAGAGAGGAAGAACAAGATGTTGGAGCAAACAATAATGGCCGTTATCCGAACCGGTATAGGGCCCTCGCGCAGGGGGTCCTTCCTATTACAGGCCAAGTCCCTGGAGGAATTTCTGCAGGAATTGAACCTCGATGAATGAGTGACTGCGATGGCTGCTGGGGTTTTGTTGGTCTTGGCCTGGTTGTTTTTTATTCATTTATTTTGGGTGGCGAGGTATTTGATTTTTTTTTGCTGTTTTTCGTTCTTTCCCTCGAGCTGGAGAGGGAAGCTTAAATTTTCTTGTTAATATTAATTATTTATTCTGGTATATGCCCAATGGTCTGGTGACATTTCACCCCTCTAACGGGGCGGAGAAGTGCATGAAATCTCTGGCTTGATGTTACTACCAAACCGTGCTTTCATATGAAATTAGTTATATTGGGTATAGCCATTGGCCGTGTTGGGTGCCGGTAACGGCGGTACTGACTTCATATCGGATTGGTGTTCGTAGAAACAATTCTGTGGGTTCGGTGTTGCTGCTGCATCTCAAAGAAATTGCCTAATGAACCCAACCGAGCAATTGAACCGCATCAAAAGGCAGTATGAGATCATCCCGCCGCACGATCATCAATCACCAGAAACCTCCGCCACTTCGACATTCCAATGCCTTCAAGCGTCTCAAAGCAGGTAAGATCAACAAGCACCAACCATTCAGCCAGCCACTAGGTTCCCCTTACGTTCGGGTGGGGTGGAGGCCCGGTCTGTCATTCTCGGCTGCTCCTCCCGCCTGCCTAAATACCAGGAGTACCTATAGCCTTTAAGCATCGGTGGCCCTGGCACCAGGGCCACGTCCCGGTCGTCCGCGCAAGGGATTCCTGGATAAATGAATACCGGTATCATATCTCCAGAATAAGTCGCTCGGAAGAACCCAACCCCATGGATTTAGCGAGGTATGATATGAGGTCTCAAGTTTGTAAAGGAGAAATGGGGGGGGACTCGTGTGGGTGCGGGGTTCCCCCTGAACGAACCGACTGAAGGACGAAGTGATGGGTGTCATATTATAGCTCTTTTCTCGTGAATCGTGATCCAGGAGGTAGGGTGTTATTACAAGGCCTACGGGATAGGGATCGAAAAGTAAGAGGGAAAGAGGAGAGGGAGGCGAGGGAGGGCGGGCGAATGAAGGGACATGACGGTGGAAGAGAGAGAGGGTAGATGTTTGAATTAGTATGATAAACGAAAATGTTCCCCGAGGGCCACATGCCATACCGTACCCCCCCGGAGTCTTATTCTCTCCATTGTGGCTTCCCCACCGAGCCAAACACCGCACGGCTAGGTGCAATGCGGTGCCACTGAATCCACACGCCGGTGTCCACTATCTATCTCCATCCTCAGATCCTCTTGTTTGACTATCGCGGCTAATCCCAATATCCCCCCAATCGAGGCTACCCGGATCAGTAAAGAGAGTGAGGATCACCACACCCCGTGGAAGAAAGCGACGGCACCAAGACACCCCTCCCTCCCCTCCTCCCTCGCGGTAGAGCCGTCCATCCTTCGCTTTTCCTGCCTGCCTGCCGGCTTGCTTGCTACTGCACACGAGGAAGAAATACCGTATCGTACTCGTACTGTATGTACCATATGCACTGTACTAGTGCTTGTAACGTCTGTGGCTCCCTCCGTTACCGACACTTCGGACCCCCCCTGGAACAGACGAAATCCAATCAACTCCCTTTCCCCTCCCTGAGCATAACCTAACCCAACCTCACCAGTCAACCAGGAAAGGACTTTTTTATATTTTATATTCCCTTCCCGACCCACTCTAGCGCATCACCTCCATAACTCACATTACGATGGAAAGCTGAAACACACACGCGCCGGATAACTCACGCATACACCCTCAACCTGGCCCCAAGCAAGACAACACCTTATCCCGACTTGACACACCACCGGTATCCTAGGCTAGCTTAACGCTCAAGGGTGAGTGAGAGCTACCTACTCACCTACCTTCTACCGTATGTCTCTATCCATTCATCTCAGATAACTCTGACGGCAAAGCTGGATTGCGCAGCCACGCACCCGCCTGCACACCAGCATCACTCAATCGGCGCTCCCCAGAGAAACGAACGAGAGCGACGAAGAAGAGCACATGTAACCGCCAATGGACCCCCCAACAGACCACACCCTGCACATCTCCCGCGAAGACCTAAACTACCTGACGGCAACCCAACGCCGGCTCCACCACCACGGTCATCAACACCCATCAACCCCATCCTCCTCCTCAACCACCAACACCGCCAACAGCGGTGGCTCGCTGAACCTAGATCCCCAGGCGCTCGCTGCGCTGTCGAATCATTTTGATGCGTTGTTGGCGGCGATCACGAATCGAGTTGAGACGGTATATAATATTCCTTCTACTTTTCTTTGACACTCCCATTGGGGTTGGGGTGGGGGGGAGGCGAGAGGGACTTTTAGCTAATTTGGTCATCTGTTGGTTATTTATTATATAGTTGTCCACCCAAACGGTCCGGAGCACGCAGGCCTCTCACCGGCGAGCGGGGGGTGTCGTGGAGGCGGCTACGGTTGAGATAGAGACGCTTAAGGACGTGCTTAGGCAGTGCGACGAGCTGCAAAATGAGTTCCTAAAGATTCGGAGGATTGGCGAGATCGTCAAAGGGTTTAGGGCTAGGGTTGATGCCCTCGAGAGGAGGATTGGGAAGTAAATCATGCTCCTGCGATCATTGGAGGTTTCTCCTTTGGGTAAAAGCGGGGGGGGGGGGCTATCTTTCTTGTCTCTATTCTTGTCTCCTTTGGTTTATATTTTTTCTATCCGATAGATGATGGGGGCGAATATCCTTTGTAATTGTGATCCCTCTTACCTCCCTTTCCTTCTTTTTCTTCTTCTCTTCCTCGATTTCCCTTTTTCTCTTATTTAGGAAAGACATCAAAGCTCGAGGAGGGAGTGTGATTGAACTACGGAGTTGGTGTTTTTGTGTTTTATATTTTCCGTTATCTTTGGCTCTACATTGTATCGCACGGGAAGCGTGGGCGCCTTCGTTTCCTTATTCACAGTTGTTGGATCCTTTTTCAACTGTGTGTCTCCTTGCTGAAATAGCTTTATTTCGCGCTGCTAACCTACCTATCTATATCAATTGCTAATCACACTCGCACCTGCCTATCGTATTAGCAATAAAATTGGCGTGATATCACCCTCAAGCAATGCTAATTTGGATGGTCCCGTACGGCTCCTCCTGACTGATGCTAACTAACCCTCTAGTACCCAGCAAAAGTAAGTGTGAAAAAGCATTGGCTGCCACCTCGGGTTTATTACTCCCTGGCTCGATGAGATGATCGAAAGTTATAAGGTTGGAATGGCCCACAATCTCTTCATAGGCGTTGCGACTATCTAGCTTACGAATCTCATATTTGAGAAATCTATTCGCGCCCATCAAACAATTAGCAAAGCTAATGTAATCGGGTAATGGGGGTAGGAACTGACTTGAAGAAATCCGAGCAATCCTTTTCTACAGAATTGTTGGTTTCCTCCTCGGAGTTGGCGCCCAGGTTGAAGGACTCAAATTGTTCTGCCATATCAACCAAACCTCCGGCAGCGTCAATTTCGAGCATGTCAAGATCTTCGTCTCTCTCCCCGATTGGAGATTGGAGAATGCTCATCCGTCTTATGGATTTAGCTGCCAAGGGGCTGCTTTGACGAGAGCGTCGGGCAGAGGAGTGGCCCTGGGGATCGCCGCCAATGGAGCTTGAGGGAAACCTGCCAATTGAGAATCGAGGGGAATTGGGTCTAGATCCTGGAATGTCCCCCTTTGGCCTGGGAAATGGTTGCTGACTAGATGGATGATAACCCTCACTTCCTACTTCTGAGCCCTTTCTCCCAACCTCAGACTCTGGGAGGCCGAGGCCAGTCTCAGAATGCGGTAATAATGGATCTTCTTCTTCGTAAACATCAGATCTGGCCCTGACTCTTCTTCCTTCTTCGCCACCGATTTCCTGGTCTTCAATCGCCCTCTTGCGTTTTTCGGAGGGCCCACCCCCCTTATGAATAGCCTCTAAAATAGCCTCACCTGAAAACATGCTTTGTAGGAACGGATTTCTTAACTCTCCAAACACACTCCATTTGAAAATGAGTGTGTGTGCGTTTTTCTTAGCTAGCCTAGAAGCCCTGGAAGCTCGAGTTTTTTTAAGAGCCGTTGCCATGTTCTCAAGATAATGCTCAGTCCATAGTGTTACCTCTCTACTCTTGATTTCTAGTATGGTGTCAGTTATCGGCCCCTTTGGCAGGCCACGGCCACGGCCTTTCCTAGCACCGTCTGTTCCTGCTTCATCTCCTGCCAGCTGGAGGGATTCAGATGGGGCATATTCTGTCCCGGCTTGTTGGGAGCCTCCAGGCTGGTGGGAAGAATTATTGGAGGCCTGCACCTCGAAAGAGGTATGGGTATCCGGGCCTTGGGGGCTCGCAATCTGGAGAATATTAGTATATAACACTAGTAAGAGGTAGGGCACGTACAGCGCGGTCGCGGCCCTCTTGGTGTTCCATCCCTGTGATACCAGCGAAATCTAGACTATTTATCCTGCCACTTCTCTCTCTACTCCTCGCTCTTGAATCACCCCCAGAGTCTGGGATGTGATCTGGAAGCATTGGGGGTAGCTGAGGGGATGAGGCCTCTTTCATCCTTCCGTATTGATCGAACTCGAATCCTAGATCATCTAACAGTGCTGCACCGGGGGCCTCCGGGGCAAAATTTTGATGAGCTTCGTCCGATGCGTGAATGGCACGAGACGCAGAACTCAAAGCTGACAAAGCGGGGAGAGGCTCATTTCCACTATTGCCAGAAGGGAGCGATCCGATCATGGCGGAATCGTCATCCACTAGATTCAAATTATCTTGATAAAGCACTCGAATGTCATCCATCAAGTCGGCATCAAACGCTGGGTCGTTCTCGAGAACTAAAGGTCTTGGTCTAGACGAAGACTTCAGTATCACTCCCTTTTCTAACCAATGCTGTGACACTTACCTGAGGTTCCCACGAGCCAAATTAATATCATCGATGATCGTCCGCGCCTGAGCCGAAGTATGGGTTCGCCTTATATTGTTAACCGCCTGGCTCGTATCAATCAACATATATCTGCACTGCTCGCCGAAGACCCTGCAGCCGCATCTTGGTTAGCTCTTGGTTCCACAACGTAAGGCTATCCGCATGACAAAAAACCCACCGGGCAACACCGCAGAGAAGATTCGATTGAAACCGTAGGGCCAAGGGCACATCCGGTTCGATGAAGGACTGACAGGCCTCGGGTATTTGCACGGCCATGATATCTTTGCGGCTGATTTTGCGGTGAACATTCTGCGTGCCAACAGTTGCAGCTAACCTACAGTTTGTATCAGTATCCCTGCTCGTAGGCAAATTATATAACTTCATACCAGACAGTTCCCACTCCATAAGGACGGGAGACAAGATACTCGGGTGAAAAGAACATCTCACTTTTTCTCCGGTAGTATCGGTGCGAGGAAATAGAGAGCGAAATATTAGGGGAATATCTCGCAAGCTGGCAATTCTCCTGGAGGGGTAGAGATCAAGGACGCCGGGAACTGCTTCCAGGAAGAAATGGGAGAAGGGAGGAGTCGGGCGGATTTTTTCCTTCTTCTTTCTCCCCCCCAAGGCCACTTTTATCACCGGGGAGGGTGTAGTTGCGTGGGCCCTATCTAGTCACGCAGCCTGTAGCTGCTGAGACCTATACACACGACATCACTCGAATAAATGCCAAGCCGGAGAAATTCGCCAAGACACTAACCAACCCTACCCTCTGAGCAACTGGTCCCGAAACAGCACAAGTTACCACACGATACAGGCAAAATTCTTCGTGCCCTCACTTTATAACCCTAAAATCAGAAAATTTCCTCCGGCATCATATCATACCGGTACCAGTACCGTGGGGGAAATTCCGGCAGACCCATCTTGAATACCAATCCCGCTGTATACTGCGTCGACTATTACCTATATGATCTCGATGATCTCAGCGATATGTCGGGGCGCTCGAGCTCCAGGATGGCAGTTGGCCGCCGCAAATCCAATTCGGATGCGCCCATTCACTGCAAAGGTACGCAATCTACACCTAGCGATTTTCCCTGCCTTGTTTTAACTTGCGGTCCTTAAAGGCTCCACTTTTTGATGAGAAACCACTTGCGCAATCCCACGAGCAATTTGACGGGCGATCCAACGAGCAATCCAACGAGCAATCCAACGAGCAATCCAATAGGCAATCCGGTGAGCAATCGGACGGGCAATCCTACGGGCAATCCAACCGGCAATCCTACGAGCAACCTAGCGAGCAATTCGCTGCGGCCGTGAGAAGACCGATATTTCGACGAACCATGTTACCCATTTATGGGGCGGGGCGAACCCCGTCATCGGATGTGATAGCATGCATAGAAGAAGATGAGATGAACGAAATCCTGTCAGGCCGTACACGATACCTGTACCGAAAATTCTTCTTCAATGAGTCCACGAGATATGTCTGGCTGTATGTTAAGAGACCGGTTGGGAAGCTTTCTCATATCGCAGAGATCGGGGATTGCAAGTTTGTTCCTCAGGAAATCGAGATGTTGCCCTATTACACAAAAAAGCGGATGGAAGCCATGCATGAAGCCGGCGCCGCCGACAGATCAAGGAGGATCCAGAGTGATGCTGGAGAGGGCTCTGCTGATGGGGGTGTTGGAGCTCTTCCTAATATATCCTACTACTCTGAGGATCCCCGGAGGTTTGAAATACCTGGTCTCCCGCGATATGCTTTCCTGATCCGCCACTTCTGGGAGATAACCTCACCCTCGCATGGGATTACCTGCGAGGAGCTGTGGGAGAGGAGATTCTTGCTGTCCCCGCCGCCTCCGAAATATATGGTTGCCCGGAATCAGATGGTGGCGTTCATGCCGTTAGAGAGACAGAGGAAGTTGTTTTGAGGGCATGAGTTTGGTATCGCTGTTGCGCGCAGTGGAATAAAATGGGGCATGAGGTTTTCAATTGCTTCTATCTCCTAATGTGTCTCTTGCTTGGCCTGTCATTTGATCATTTAAATTTTCGGGGTCGTGGTGGGGCGTAGTACATTCTTAGTGCTCATCTTGGAGGAAGGTCTTCAGATGTGGGGTGTTATGGAATTTTTCGGTTCTCTTCAATTATACAGGTCCAGCAGCTAGGAAAGTAGAGCGAATCCTTCCTGCCCCATCCAATATATAGTTCGAGAAGAGCCTTAGTATCATACACTGCACAATTGAGCAAGTTATTCCACGGCGAGGGGGTTTCTTGTTTTCGGTACTGGTGCTGGAATAATTATTTCCCGGAGGGATGAAGCTGGGGTGGGTGCAATGCACGTATCGGTACCCATCCCCGGCGTAAGCCTCCCTCATCCTCTGTTGTGGGATTTACGAGTACCTCAACCCGTAGTCATGAGATGGATCTTGTTTGGCCGGTATAGACCTCGCATATCGGGGTGTGCGGTTCGGGTGCTAGTGTGTAGCTGGAGTTTAGCTAGGTTGCCAGGGGTTGGCTTAAGCATGCGTTGCTGCAGCAACATCAACAGCTCGCCTGAACACACCCTGATGCTTCTCCCCTCTTCTTTTAGCTCCATGAGTTTGCATGATCAGCCCTTTGGTTTAGTCTTCATCCTTCCCCCGTCCATACTTCTTGAGGTCTCCCAATCGCGAAGACCCCGAAGCTCAGCAGGTCTTTAAGTTCGCTTCTACAAAATGGACGTCCCCGCTTCCCCACGTCGCCTCCCTCCTCGAAACCCCACGCACCAATCACAATCCTCCTCCTCACCACCGAAACATATCAACGAGATTTTCCCCTTAGCGCCCCCGCCGCCGCTTCACACACGCTCCAACAATGAATCATGGGACCCACAGCCATCTTCTGAGGAGTTTATTACTCCTTCACCCTCCCACACACCACTGGCAGAGGTGTTTGACAGATCCCTCCAGCTCACACCTAGTTCTTCGCCTACAAAACCGCAAGCAACGCCCTCCAAGAGGATGCTTCAGGCAATTGACGAGGATGGAGACGGGGGTGGTGCAGGTGTCGCGAGAGTGGACGAGAGGCCGAGTAGGAAGCATAATAAAGAAAATGCGCCACCTTTCTCCAAGGCAACAGAAGTTTCGCAACGGGGAAATGCAGGCCCGGGATTACAGAGATCGCATGCTCAGAGTAGACGAGCTTACGATCCGTTCAGAGATATGACCATCGACGAGATCGAAAAGTTATCCAAGCCGCAGGTTAAGAGGTTGAAGGACGTTGCTCATCTGTGTCAGTATCTCCCTGATCGCGTTTCGCATGGTTTGGAAATTAATCGCACCCGATGAAATTAGATTTCTATGACTATTACTACAACCTAGTTACCTATGTTCACACGCGACGAAAGCGCACAGAGGACTGGAAAGCCCAGCATGAGCACCTCGGTGCTGAAGAAATCAAGCCAGCATGGTCGAGGTTTGCCGGACGGGAACGTGTTGCTCTCCGGAAACGCCGTACAAGACTCCGCAAGGGCGATTTTCAGGTTTTAACACAGGTTGGGCAGGGTGGTTATGGTCAGGTTTTTCTTGCAGAACACAAGGAGACCAAAGAAGTATGCGCTTTGAAAGTCATGAGCAAGAAACTGCTCTTTAAGTTGGACGAAATCAGGCACGTCTTGACCGAGCGGGATATCTTGACAGCTGCCAAGAGTGATTGGCTGGTGAAGTTGCTTTACGCATTCCAGGATGACGATAGCATCTATCTTGCCATGGTATGTGTGAAGCTCTAGTTCAAGGACTTTGTTCAATATTGACCAAAAAATCACAGGAATACGTTCCTGGTGGTGATTTTCGTACCTTGTTAAACAACACCGGTGTCTTGCACTTTAACCATGCCCGCTTCTACGTCGCCGAGATGTTCGCCTCAGTCAATGCTCTTCACGACTTGGGTTATATTCATCGTGACCTGAAGCCCGAGAATTTTCTCATCGACTCCTCGGGACATATTAAACTGACAGATTTTGGACTAAGTGCTGGAAAACTAAGTCCGGACAGAATGGAGAGCATGAAAATGCGGCTCGATCAAGTTAAAGACATGGACATCCCGGAGAGGTCAACGATGGAGAGAAGGAAGGCCTATAAGACTTTGAGGGAAACTGACGTTAGCTATGTGAGTTTTCGATTCTCTTGCGTCAGCTATATTTTTTTTCTTCCCTTTTTCGAATTAAACCAACATTGGAAACATTAGGCAAAATCAGTAGTTGGGAGCCCCGATTATATGGCCCCAGAGGTCTTGAGAGGCACAGAAGAGTATGACTTTACTGTCGATTATTGGTCGCTTGGTTGCATGCTTTACGAGGCACTGGCTGGATATCCGCCATTTGCTGGGGCGACGGTTCAAGAAACCTGGCACAACCTGAAGCACTGGAAAAAGGTGTTGCACAAACCCGAGTACGAGAATCCAAACTATTACCTTTCCAAGCGCACCTGGGATCTCATAATTCAGTAAGTATCTTAACTCAATATTCTATCTGCGGCACTAATGAGGATTGGGTGTAATAGTCTTGTCGCAGCTCGGGACCAGAGGTTCCAAGACTTCAAATCTGTCCAGTCACATGCCTACTTCTCAGAAGTGAACTGGAGCGATCTCCGTGCAAAGGAACCGCCTTTTGTGCCTGAGCTTGATAGCGATCGGGATGCTGGATACTTTGATGATTTCAGCAATGAAGCCGACATGGCCAAATACAAAGAGGTCCACGACAAACAAACTGCGCTGGAGAATATGGAGGAGAGGAAAGACTCCATGAGTAAAATCGCATTTGTCGGCTTCACATTCAAGTATGATCCCTTCCTTCAGCAGCTGGAGATGGTATATCGGACTAACAGTTGCCGACAGACACAAGAAGCCAAACCTTGATGGCCTTGGAGCGTATAATAATAAAGGGGATGGACAGTTTGGAACGATTTTCTAAACTACGAGTGTTGGCGCTCTGTTTATATTCTTTTTAATACTTGCCTAATGGTTATGATGGGTTTAATGGAGCATTGGAGGCGGATTTGATTTACTCACGGGGTTTACGGCAAGGATGGGTGATAGATGCTTTTTGAGTACCGCAGTGCGATATCCTAGGTCTTGCGAGGCATACCCAAGTTTACAAAAAAACGATTCATTCCATGAGCCTACGACAGGTTATTGTACCGGTATTCTGGGCGATTTTTTCTGTTCTACAATAAGGGTTTCATAAAAGGATCTACGATCGGAAATAAGCTTAAATTTGTGACATCAAGCCTATTTGAGATGCATCCCATCGTTTTTGTTCACAGGGCGACGGCCGGGACCACCTTCTACATAAAGGGATAATAGCACCACCTATTAAGGTATGATATTCCGTAGATCCTCCTCCGGGGGGGGGGGTGTTAGAACTCAGTATTTGCCGGATCACTATCCGGAAGCCCTCAGCTACTCGAGTACATCGCCTCAAGCCAAGTATAATTTAATATTCCCCTAATATCATAACCCCCGAGCCAAAATTCTGCGAAACGTTCCATAGTTCCTGCCACGGTATACAAGTTTATACGATATCGTGAGGAAAAACCTAACGTACCCGTCACTTACTTGCAGTACTTCACGTGACGGGTAAGGTACCGTATATCGCCCGTGAAGGTAAAAAATATAAAAAAATACGATCCGGGTAGATGAAGTCTTTCCTGTTTTTTTTTTCTTTTTTTTCCTTTTCCTCCTGTGATTACGGTACTACTAGTACGAGTACTGTACTCGTACAGTACTGCACACATCGGTGGCTAACTTGAGCTCACTCCGCCGGTGGAGTGGGTGATTCGATTGAAAGCGGATTGATTAATTAGTCCCTTCAAAGTGGGCCCGCTGCGTTGTTGGTTGTATAACGTCTTTTATTCGATTTCACCCACCCCTCCTCCCGCGGTGTCATACTTGTTCTGCGCGGGTGGAGCTGTTTTGTGGGGGAGTGTGGGGGAGATAGGGCTGGGGTGGTTTGTGTGTATCCTTGGGCGGGAATGGTGGGGTTAGTGGGAGGGTTCGGGATGGAGTGTTGCAAGGGAGTTTTTTTTGGGGGAGGACTGCGGATGAGGTGGCAGAGATGGGGCATGGTAGTGGTGGATATGGAGGTTGGTGCGCCGAACGGCGTTTAGGTCTTAAGATGATGCTTGTGGTAGGATTCATTTTTTAAATGGGGAAACGTGATGCTATAAGAGCTGCACGGTATTGAAATCTATCTACAAGAAGTGAAATAGCATCTTTCTGTCTAACGCCCCCACATCCCCTTTGTTTTTTCCTCAGCGCTCTGTCTTCGGCCATACCGGATCACAACCCGTCACTCTGCCGTTCTAGCAAGCTTATCTTGAGCGTCTTTTGCACTGGTGCCTACTGCAACTTCGACCGCCTCCTGCGGTTTAATGACACCGTCGGTAACCTTCTCCGCAGTGGTTTTCTTGTCCTTTGGAACATAGCCGGTTCCGATCTTCTTTTCCTTCTTCTTCTTGACCTTGACTTCGGCTGGATAGGCCAGTTCTGCAACCTTCTTGAATTCCTCGTCCTGCTCATAATCCTTTCTAATCGGGTCGAGGAGTTTATTAAGAGCTTCTTCGACCCCCCTCTTTAGATCCATTGGGGATAGCTATGGCTCTATTAGCTCGCGTTTTGGTAGTAAACCTCATGGGGATAGGCAGACCTTATCCTCTTTGTAATCCTTCTTAAGCTCTGCAGCAGAGGAATAAGTGACTGGCCCACCCCACTTCTCATCTCTAGGCACGACAAATTTCCCCTCCCCCTTCTCATCCGCCAATTCGGCAATGGGAAAAAGCACATACTCCACAAACGAGATAACCCCATTCCCCTCCACCTCCCCGGGAGCGCAATGCGACTTCCTCAACTTGCTCCTGACAACCTCCTCGCCGTCCAACAAGTCAATCTTAGAATTCGGATCGGAAGCGCTCATCTTGCCCCCCGCCAAGCCGGGAACCATAGGGTTCATCAGATGCGCCCTCTCCTTGAATCCAATCCCGGGCAAATTCTCAGCCGCAAGTGTAAATATCTTCCTCTGATCCACACCACCGAACTGCGCGTCAACACCCAAGTGTTCCTCGTCGAGCGCCTGCATGAGTGGGTAAATCAGCCCGCTGAGCAGAGGGCTGGCAACCTGCTTGACCACCTCTGCGCCCGCCTTCTTCGCATCGTGCTCGGTGACAATAGAGCTGAGGCGGAACAGGTCCATAACGTAGGCTGCCCCCTGCTGGTACGAGGACCCGAGCACGAAGCGTAGCTTCTCGATCGGGACACCGATGGCTCGTAGGACGGATTTTATGACTAGTTCGTAGTATTTTGCCCGGTGCGTCACCAGCTCCAGAGGAGCTTTTAGGTTGTCCAGGAATGCGTGGATGTCTGCTAGTAGAACCGTGACTTCGCATCCCGCACGTAGGAAGTGTGCGAGCTTCACCATCGGTACAAAGTACCCACAATGCGGGCGGCCTGTCGGTGCGGTGCCCCAGTAGACCTTTAAAGGGCGGTTTTCGGCCAGCACGGATTTAATGATGTTCGGTTTTAGGACTTCTTGTAGGTTACTGGTTATTAGGTCGTATCTTTCCTCCGGGGTGAGGTCGGTGGTGGTGGTGGTCTTGGTGGATGCCATTCTGAGGGTGGGGTTTTCGTTCCTGTTTTATTTTATGGGTTGGATTGTTTGAGAGGGGGGTAAATGGGTAGGTAGGTGGGAATTTGCAGTGAAGTGAGTTTTGTTGGATCGGTTTTTTGGTCTTTGGGGGCCTTGGTGGGGCTGGGAAAGGGTTCAATTGGCCCCGCATGAGTCAGCATGTCCTCCCCCCCGCATCATTTTTCCTCACTCGAGTATGATACTAGTACCGATATTGCTGTTCGTTTCAGAGCTCCCTGCGCTAAATGAGATAGGCTGAATTGCTGGCCGAGGCTATAGTGTCTATGAGTCGGTAGATACATAGGGGAAATATGTTAGCGGGAAACAGTGTTACATTGTGGATATTTGGAGGAGATTGGATCCAGAGTGGTCGAAAGTTACCAGTCTCTCACTCGGTACGACACGGGCGGAAATGTACTTTAATTGTGTTAGATCCCGCCCATTAGCAGGAGCTGTAAATGGCTTTATGCTACAAAGAAGACTTCGTGGACAGCACTGGTGGCCCTGTCTCCACCTCAGCCAATTCTTATCCGGGGGACAAAGGGAGTAAATCGTATCAATTGATAAAGGTGCCGCCGCTCTATGTAAGAATCCAGAACCCACACGTTAGGGGAGGGTTGGTTTTTGTAACGTAATACGGAAAAAAAACTGCACTCCCATTCACACCGCCTCTCTCTACTCCTAGAAGAACTTTCAGCCGTAGGTGCCAAGCTTAGGTGGTGGTCTTTTTCGCAATTTCGCTCATAACAGGATGCTCTTTCTCCTGCTTCTTCAAGCTCCGATAATGTCTGTCCAAACCGTCAGCTTCCACAACTGCCAAGCTCGCTGAATACTCACAACCCGATACGCCCCAACTGGACGCTCCCGACACCAGCCAAAAAGAAGTTAACAGCGGCCAACCTGTTCGCAGTTAGAGGTTATTCTGTAATTTATATGTCGGGGTGAATGTAGTGGACAAACGGGACGTTTTGCGGGCGGATAATTAGACACCATCTAGTCCAGATAGTCCCTGTGCAGAATAGAGCGACATTCTGGGTGACGGAAAGAGATTCGACGGGGCGATAGAAGTCGCTCGCTCCGGCAATGACAAGACCCCACTAGCTTCTGGTTAATACAATTCAGTAGAGGTTCCGGAGCGCGGGGTGATACCTTGAGGACAGGAGCCTATGAACCACAGGATACATTAGCAGTGACCGCCAAAGGAAAGAGAGAAAGCAATACCCAAAAATGAACAGTTCTCGGATTGAGAGCTGGGTTCAGCACTTTGGCTGCTTGGGCTGGTGCTTGAGCGGCCATTGCTGATTGTGTTTATCTGGAGGTTTGGTTTCGTTGTGGTTGAGGTTGTTAACTCTGTGTCTCGCTCGGTTTGTTCCCCTGCCTTTGGCCGCTGATCCCATCGGATAAAGATCTTAGACTTGATGACTCAGCGAAATGAGTAGCACGGGCTGCCACAAACTCCGGTTCAATGGAAAACCCTTAATTCCGAACAATCACTGCAACGCCATGGCCGCACGACTCGCGTTCGGAAGTTCATTGAAGGAATTGCGTTTCCTTTTCTGTCAGACGGGGGAAGGGAGTGCTGCTGTTAGGTTTGTTGGATCTTCTTCGAAACAGATGAATGGGTGGAATGCGAGCTGATGAGGAGGTGGGGTAGAGCGTTCGTACAGAAATCGTACCCGCTTATGAAGAAAAATAATCCTCATACGCCGATACTGATTCGCGAGGCTTTGGGCACTCCTCCAAGGGTATTCGCGAGATACGGTGTGTATCCCGACGAAACTGAGGAGCGAGGAAATTGGGATGGAAGGCTGACGAGCGTGTAGAATTCGGTAAGGAGAAGCAGGCAAGTCTAGCCGGTTCGTTACGCCTCCGTCTACGGTTATGGGACCAAGGCCTAATACACAATCACAGGATTGTCGAACGAGGAGATCGACGCAAAGGTTTCCGCACTTGTCAAGGGCGCTGCTTAGAGCTAGAGATGGGGAAATAGAACAGCATTGTACAAACAATATATGATGCTACACGATATGATATTCCTCAACAAAAAACTAACTTTGAACTTCACCAAACCGGTACTGCGCCCAGCTCATACTCATCTCTGGTAGTGTCCACAATTGAACTGCATTATCGCCTCCAGCAGCCCCAGAGGCGATATGGACGGGAAGCAAATGCTCGAAGGTGGGGTGCGCGTTTCTGGCATCGCTCCTGGTGAGGAGCTCTGCTAGTTTTGCTTTGCGTTCCTCGCCCGAGGCGACATTTGTCACTGCCTCTTTTATAGCTTCGTCAAAAGGAACAACGTAATCCAACAGCTTACCAGACATCCTCGCAGATTGGAGGTCACTAAATCCATCGTTAGGATTGAGAAGAGAATCAGAGTAAGGGAGGACACTACCGGAGATTATGTACTGCCATTCCGGATCCAATAATAACCACCCCCTCATCTCGGAGCTTGGAAACAGCCCTTCCGAGAGCATAATGCATATTAGGATCCTCTTGACCAAATAGCGAAACCTGCACTACCGGAACCCCCAGTGGATTCTCCTCCGGGTCAAACACTACCGCGGTCAGCCACCCGAATCACTACCCCCCGGTCTGCCCAACCCGGGATCGAAAAGGCACATACTGCAGGTAAACGGAGTAAAAACCCCATGATCAAGCCCCCGCTTTACTCCCTGGCTCTCAATCCCAGCCTCCTCTAGCAACTCCAAAACCTTTTCCGCAAGCTCCTGGGACCCCACATTCGGATACTTGTGCTTATAGTAATGATCCGGAAAGCCATTATAATCATATATCAGATCGGCGAATTCCGCGGTATTGACCTCAACCTTACTCCCCGCCGCCGCTGCCTGCCAATGTGCCGAGAAAACCACGACAGCCTTCGGCTTGACCTTTGTAGTGATTTCCTTCCCAATCTTTTGAAATTGGTGGAAGGCCGGGTGCTCGACTTGGTACATTATGTTTGGCTTTTCCTCACCGGAAAAGAAGCAGAAAGTTAGTGAGGGCGAATATGTAACGAGGTGGCTTATATTCGGGAAGGGGTAACGAACACCTCCATGAGACACAAAGTATACGGGTGTACGCCCCGTAGCAGCAGTGGTGGTGGCGGATGTAGAGGTACCCCTGGCAGCTCTGGTAGTGTAAGGCGAAGTAGCTTGAGAGAGCTTTTGTAGTGTGCGTTGCACCAGGTTAGGTTGTGTTGCCATGCCGAGTATGAACGGGTGCAGGAATAGACTAAAGCCCAAGAGTTCGTGTTAGGGCGAAGGGGTGATCGGAGTGGAATCATGAAATTTGAGGAGGGGCTTTGGAGGTTCGTGTGAGTTTATATAGGGTGTTCTTCGCACTGATCGTCGGACTCGATATTTGGATTAGTTGGGTTTAGAGGTATCATACCGTACTCGAGTATTTGTAACTTATTGGGCGTGGGAAGAGTCAGCAGGTGACGAGGGATGGATTACCGTATTCACTTCCAGATCCCCGGTCATAGTTCCTGAGAGGGTTTAGTTTGACAGGTTAACAGAATTGCGAATACCGGTTAACGAGATCCAACACATCCGGTAGGCTGAGCCTATACCGTATCAGGAAAACACTAATCCTTCTCAGGAGCTTTTGTCTCAGAATCTGGAGATAAGAGGGGTGTCCTGAGATACTGGAGTCGTGGATTTAACGAGTAAATACGGTTGTTGTAGCTTATGAATCCCAAATGGGGAGTTACTAATTCATTCTGCAGTCGGATGCACCACATGGATGAGCTTGTGTGTGTGCAGGTTACCGTGCCGTGCCGGTATCATACTCCGGTGTGTCCATAGGAATCGGGAAACATGGGCCCCCCAAGGAGATCTTTACGGGGTCGGCGGAAATGGTCTTCCGATTTCTACCTACGCAGAAAATGTGCTGCGAGAGATTCGGGGGGCAGGTGATAGTCTGGCCAATGATTGGGAGGGTTGGATTTCGAGATGTCTTGGGGAGTTAGTTGTAGCGTCCCCCCTCTCCCCTCATGCACGAATAATTTCGGGCAGTGTACTGATACTGTACAAGTACCGTATCATACTAGTGGGCTAAATTATACCCTTCTCGCACTGGTAGGACTTGGAGGCGTGATTTACGAGCTTGACCCAGTGAACCGGAGCATTGCTATATCCTAAGTCATAAGCTATGTACTAACTCCTATCATATAAATCCTGAATCTCAAAAACAAAAGCTAATGCGACACCATGGATGAAAATGCTAAACAAAGGAAACCCCATGTCCACTGCTCAAACAACTATAAATACAACATGACGAAGAGCCATCATGGTCTCCAACGGGGCCCTGATACAATCACAAAAAGAACCCCATTCACTCAGAAGCAGGCGGAAACCCCGGATTCCTCCCACTAACTGCGCCCTCAAGCGCCAACGCACTCACGAACCCCATATCCTTCGCCGCGAATTCAGGAGTAGCGCACCCCACAACGTAAACATCCCCACTATCAGGCGGGAGGGCAAAGCACTTTGTCGGGAATGGGCAGTCAAGGACTTTATGGAACCTATTATCTGAACCGCACTCGTTGAGGGCTCCGTCAATGCAGGCGATGCGGGCTGCACGATCTCCGGGGTCGCAAGGAGCATTAGGCTGGAGAGCCAAGAACTTCTGGTTCTGAGCTATAGCGGCACGGATCCGCTCGCCCGCGGCATCGCGTTTGACTAGAGACCTCTTCCCGAGAGCGCCCTGTAATTCCTGCTCACTGCTGAATCCCATTCTGAGCGCTGCGTCAACCGGAGCTATGCATGCTACGGATGCGCCGGTTGATTGCTCCAATGGGAGAGCGAAGCATGCTAGAGGGGCTGCGCAGTCTATTACCCTAGCGTACTTGCCGTTATCACCACAGGTGTGGAAGTCACCGGCGATACAAGCATTGAGTTGTGAGGGGTTCTTGGGATCGCAGGGAGAGCTGGTGGTCAAGCCTGCGAATTTTTTGTTTAGGGCAATGGCGAGGGCGGTGTTGCTGTTCGCCGGTGAGGGGGGCTGGGAGGTAGTTGGAGTGGTGGAGGTGGTAGGAGCAGCAGGAGGCCGGGCAGATGCAGTTACAGTTACGGTCACAGCAGCGCTTGGCTTCTCTACTTTGGATGAACTTGAAGGCTGAGACTGGGCTGGTGAGCTCGGGGGTTGAGACTGGGTTGGGCGAACGAAGGTGCGGTCACTAGTGGAAGCTGATGAACGGGAGGAGACTGGTGCAGATGAAGCCGGAGCTGAAGAAGGTGCCGGAGCCGAAGAGGGAGGTGCCGGAACTGAAGAGGGGAGTGACGAGGGGGCCGGAGCTGAAGAAGGTGCCGGAACTGAAGAGGGGAGTGACGAGGGGGCCGGAGACGAAGAGGGGGCCGGAGCTGAAGAGGGAAGTGACGAGGG